TAAGGGATTTTAAATCAGGACAGGTTGTCGTCAATGTTGTGTTATTCAACACCGCTTAATACTACAAATCTAAATAATAATCTGTAATCGTGTACGTAAGTATTCTCATGAGATTGATACATTAATAAGGAAGACAGGTATGGTATTAAACTCACTCACAAATTTATACACTATCAGTTATATAGAGCAATTTTCTAGGATCATTGACTAAAAATAGTTTTAAATGATATATATATATATATATATATATATATATATATATATATATATATATATATATATATATATATTCATCAGATCTTATAGACTGGCGATACCGACTCACAAAGAACTTAAACAAATAATATAAAAACAATCTACTTGAAGACATCCAACAGAAGTGATATGTCCCGGAAAAGGATATATTTGTTCGAAGTAGCAAAATGGTTGTTGACTACTATAAACGGGTAGGACAATCTTGCAGGTAAACGTAATGGACTGGTCCTCGTCTTAGTGGTAGGCAATAGGCGTAGGCAATACGCGAAGACAATAGGCGTCCACCGTGTAGTTCCACATCAGTTTGTATTTATGTCTAACACCAGCCAATCATATTACTGTGAAGGCGAACACAGATGTATGCATATTCATTACATCAAGAAGCAACAACTATAATGGATAGTACATATAAAACGCTGAGAAAATAATTATAAAAACAAAATGTTGCCATTTCGTACGACCTTACAAAGGAACCTATGATGCAAATATTCCTTAAAAAGCCCGAAGACAGCGGAACTGAGAAGCACATTTTCCTGAAGATTCTACGCACAGTAACACTGATATTTTGGTTAATGAATGCCAATTATTTTCGGTATCGAAAGTTATGCTATGCTTCATAGGATAAACAAAGCATGCATTTAGGATTCAATATATTTTCAAATACTAAAATTTTATTGTTTTTTCTCTATCACCGTTTGAAATTTTAGTTCAATGATTGATGCCTTCTTTCAATCGAAGGAACAGTAGCGTCCATTAGCACTAGAGATAACATTCATTTCGCTATAAATGCAGAAGTTTATTTAATTTCCTGTAGAAGTTCTCACTTTTGTTTACAGCTCTTTTTCTGTTAGAGCAAAGGCTGTTATTGCTCATGTATTACAGCCACGGTCAACTATATATGCACCCATAAGACATTCTGACTGTTGCAAATATTTTCTATTACAATATCAAATGATTTGAGTATTACAAGTCTAACGCCATGTTACGTTATCGTTCAGTTAAAACAACGTACCTCTTGTAAGCCAACTACGCCACTGGCCTTGAATTAGTTTCATCATGAAACCATTTGATTACACACATAAAAATGTAAAAGGTTAGTGCTGGTAATAATAAAACATTGATCAATGTATAATAAGAGGCATATAAAACTCACCTATATATATATATATATATATATATATATATATATATATATATAGATAGATAGATAGATAGATAGATAGACAGATATGTAATCTTTTAATCACTTTTATTTTATCGGAAGAGAAACGTGTCCTCTTCATGTATGAAGCAATTACGACATCTGGGATATATTTTTTTTTTTTTGCAATTTCCGTAATCGGCTACATTTTTTCACTTCTGAAACTTGACTCTTTATGCTCACAATTTATTCGGTTACAATATGGCGCCCCATTTCAGAGCGATACAATAATTACACATCGATATCTCTTCTTCACTTCACGTTTTCGCTCGATTTCACATTTGTTTCTAATTTTCATTCATTTTATTATTTTATTAAATTTTCCCATGGTCTAAAAAGAAAAATAATTTCGATTTTTGAAAAACCTGAAAAGCAAATAGTGCTTCAGTCGCTAAGTGATTAGCAAACGGTAATTAAGCTAAAGTTAAAACTATACATCTAGATTTTCTACAATTATATTTTATATCAAAAAGATTGACCGTAAATTTTAAGTAGCTAAGCAATGACGATCTGGACAGTTCTTTATTGATTAAAGTCACAAAACCCACACAAATCGTGCGAGCCAAATCTACATCAGGTTACATTTTATTTCTTTATTTTTTGGAATATCTTTGCTAAGATTTTTGCTGTGCTAGTAAGAAGGGAAAAATCTTTGCTTTAACTGGTGTGAAGTTCTGGGAAATCAAGACAGAGTATCGATTAGTTGGATGGTTGCCTGGTTGGTTGTAGGTAGTAAGTAGCTCAGTGTTCGTGTTTAGTAAGATAGATAAGAGCGATAGCCCGCCGCAAGGTCTATTGTTTGAATTACCTTTGTACCAGTCTCCATATTACCGTTCTTTTGAAATATCGTCGCGTTTAAAGATGGCGCCCGTAGCCAGTTTTGCACACAAGGAGGAAGAATCGACTAGAAAAAGAAAAATCGTAAGAAAGAGGAAGAGAAAGAAGTGTACTTATAAGTATGAGGTTAAAATGAAGGGGAAAGAATACTTAGAAGAATTCAGATAAAAAGGTAGAAAAAATGATAGAAATAAAGAAAGAGCTTTACTATAGGAAGGAAAACGAAAAAGTGATGGAGAATTTTGAAGATGAACGAGTTATTATGATTAAAAGAGAGATAATGAGGAAAGAGAAAAGACGAAGATTAAAGAATAATGTGAGTGGTAGGAAAAGTGATGACAGGTGGAGGGTAAATGAAAATGGCAAGAACTCTGAGCGGTAAGAAAGAGAGAGAGAGAGGTGGGGAAGAATGACTAAAAATTAAGAATGAAATAAAGTATTGCATTGATTGATCTTCAAACATTAGACAAAAAATAGAAACAGAAGAAAATATATAAATATAAAAATAATTGATGAGAGCAAAGTAGAATAAATAAAGATTAAAGAAAAAGTAAAGATATACGTAAGGAATGTGAGCACAGTAAATAAATGAAAGAGAAAGAAAGAGATAAAAAGAAAATGATAAAGAAACAAAAAATGAAATGATAGCTAGAGAAGAGGAGAGAGATAAATGAATGAATGAATGAAAGAAAGAATGAAAGAAAGAAAGAAAGACTGCAAGAATGCATAAATATCTAAAAAGTGATGAGAGTAAAATGAAATAATCAAGAAAAAAAAAAAAACATAATAGCCAGATACATAAATAAAGAGAGAGAGAGAGAGAGAGAGATAAAAGAAGAAAAAACACTAGACTGGCATTTAGGTCCCACCCTTTTACTCTCGAAGTAGTTAAATATAACCTCCGCTTCTACTCCAACAGTTTCTTTTCTTACACTTCCCACCTGTGGAACTCCTTCAGTTTACTTACTTCTCTGAAAAGTACAATCTTCAAAAATTTAAATGCAACGTCAATCGCCATCTTCTGTCTTCGTGAATCCCATTCACCTTTTGTTATTTCTTTAATCTCCACCTCTAACCCGTACTTTCTCTCATTCTCATTCTCTCTAACCCCCTGCTTACTAGTGGCATTCCCGACTTGCTTGGGGCTAACTGATTAAAAAATTAAAAAGAAAAAAGATCGATGCACATAGAAAATCTCGGAAAAAATGATTCATATAATAGAAAAAAAAAAGATATGGAAGAAAAATACAAAGACGGTACAGGGATGCTAAACGAAGCCATTCTTAGAAACTGTGGGCATATATGAAAGAAGGCGAAATGAAGCGAACGTCACTGGAAGAGACATAGAATATTTAAAGAAAGAACGGCAGTTAGTGAGAAGGAAGGAAGAAAGAAAGAAAGAAAGAAAGAAAGAAAGAAAGAATAATTGTAAGAAAAGCGTCTTAATAAAGCTTGTTATTACAAGACGATAAAAAGATAGAATGATAAAGGAATGATATCGAAATGAAAGCAAAACATAAAAAATATGGAAGTAATATTTTGTAAGAGAAAAAGAAAGAAGTAATAGTAAGAAAAAAAAATCAAGTGTTAAGAAATAAACAAATTAATGCTACAAAGAAAATGGATAAATATAAAAGACTAAGAAAGACTTATTAACAGTGGTTGTTATTGAAAACTGATGCGAAAACGTTAAATAGACGGAAAGGAATATATAAGAGAAAAATAATCGAGACAAGTCTATATAACAAAAAGTATAAGAAAAAAGGAAGCAAGATTGAAAAATGAAAGAAAAAGTATCAAGCGTTAAGAAATAAAAGAATCACTGACTGAAAGAAACAATGAAAGTAATGCAAGAAGGAAAGAAGGAAATACTTATTAATAATGATTGTTATTGAAAATTGTTGTAAAGATAAAAAAGACAAATAAAAGGAAATGAAAACACAATGGAGAAAAATAGAAGAAATCATTACCACACAGATGAACTCAAAGAGAAATGTTGAAGGAAGAAAGCCTAAGGAGACAATTGAAGAGAATTGGACAAATAGATAAATAAAAGAGGAAAAGGAAGAAATGGTGTTGAGATAAAATGCGAAAGGAAACTTATAGATATGGGAAAATAGGGTAACTAGAAAGTAAAATGAATAAAAACGAAGGCGACAAAAATGGAGGAAAGAGGAAGTAAACTGAAGGAAAGATGTAAGTGATGTGGTGTTGCAAAATTGAAAATGCCCCCGAAATCAGAACGGAAATGTTATCACACCTGATAGTAATCTATCACCTGGGCTTTTTCATGCTATAAGTTCAAACACGGAGGAGTGTAAAATCGATAGAAGTGAAAACTACTACCGAAATATAATGTCGGCCATTTCCATTATTATTGTCGTTGCTATGGCGACTGCTACCGTTGCTATGATTTTGATTTTATTGATATTTAATTTGCTACGATTAGTTTGACAAAAGGCCAAATTAGAAGCGATTGTGTTGTGTGTTGCACTGTACTTACAACTAAGAATTGAGTTGTTTGACATTAAAAATAATAACGAAATTCTAGGTTTTATCAGTTTTGGAAAAACCGACTATTCGTTTTCGTAGGAAACTAGAGTCTGTCCAATCAATTGCATCATAAATGTTATATTTTTATTATAGACTAGCAGCATGTCCAGGCGTTGCCCGTGCTTGATTGAAAAATCGTACGACTCATACAGCAATCGCTATCACTTGACTTACTTCTTGCCTATATCACACTGCGAATTTTTTCTAAGCTCTATACTAAACATTAAATCTGTTACGAAAAAAGAACTAAACTAAATGAACACAAAACGATCAGCTTTAAAAAAGGACTCGTAACTGGAAAAACCGAATGAAAAAAGAATGTTAACAACAAATAATTTTTCACACCCAACCCAGTTCTGCGGAATCAGAATCAACGTTGAGTTTAAGCAAGCGAATGAGCCAATTGGAGTAAAGTGTCATGCAGATTTAAATTTTTCCCACTTGTGACGAATGCAGCTATCGAAATTTTTTTGCATGCTAGCATGCTAAGTTAACATTTGTGTCAGTCAGCTGTTGGCTCTCACTTTGGCCTATAGAATCTCCCTGACTATTCGTGGCAGCCAGCTATAGGCTCTCACTCTGGCCAGTAGAAAATGGCCGCAAACTACATGAAAACTGCCGTAAAAGGATGAACAAATCGATTATTTCCACTATCCATGGGAGTTGGGAAATGCAAAGTCAGTCTTGGCCTTCTCGCTAACTTGGAGCATTTGCATGCAAATTTCGGCCGTGCACACACACGTGCACACACACACACACACACACACACACACACACACACACACACACATCCTGCCTTTTATAGATAGAAATAATTAATTCACAGCCATTTTTAATAGTATAATTAATAATTACAACAAGAACTGGTAGAAATTGCTTCTTATCCGGTATATAGACTGACATCGAAAGAGAATGAAGAGTTGGATAGTAATCTGGGCTTCTCTAAGACAAATAATGACATATAATGTTAAGATTTATATCCCAGCATAGCTAAAATATCTGACCTAATTAAACAAATATCTGGAAAACGTTTTAAGTCCGAGGAAGATTTGAAAATAGACAAGAATATTGATGAATTGAGGAAGCTTGTCGGTCGATATTCAGTAAGATGTCACCAGATACTGATTGGAACAAAAGCAAACCCCTAAATTATAATTATCACCTCCATCCCATCATAGAAGATATATTGGCATACGAATTTCATGAAAAATCGCAATATCATTTGCAGTAAAGGATTGTGGTGTTATTCAATTTATTATTGTTAATCTAAAGTATTTCAGGAGATCTGAGATCACTGCTTATGTCTTGCGAGAGCTGCTCGCTAACAAACACAACAGAGATGAGCATGATATTTCTTTTTAAAATATAATACTAAACGTATACTTTATTCCTGCTATTATCATCATTCCTATAGCAAAACTGTTTCGAGGAGTTATAATACTTTGTTCCACCAGTTGAAACAATAACAGCTTAAATACGCCTTGTCAGTGATACTACGATGAACCATCTGCATTCGAATTGTATTCCTTTGATAAGAAAGAGAATATACTCTAAAGAGAATGGTCATCCAATCGAGGGGTCAGCAACTAACGGCACTCATGCCACACATGGCACGCTAAGCAATTTCCAATGGCACGCAGCCGCATATGACATAGCAAAGTCCGAACCAATAACTATTACAACGCAAAGAATATATTTATCGGTTTCAATTTTAATATATACTAAAGTATATATACTATATATTACTATATAAAATATAGTTGTAGAACAGGTATACTGACCTTGATTTGTATAAAAATACGTACCCTGTTTGCACACAGAATCATTTTAAAAACCCAAGTCGGCACATAGCAAAATGCTGCAGACCCTACTCCAATCACTACAGTTTTAATTTTTTCAAGTCTAGAGTCAACCGTTGTATATCCTACATATCCTCATAATCTGCACATGCAGAAAAACCATTTCGTAATCCTTTATCATAAATGACTCATAGGTTTTGCATTGTGTGAGCAATGAAAAAAAAAGTAGTGCCGACCGTAGTAAGGCTGTATCACATGTTCATTTATGGTCCCAGTTTGCGAAGAATGTCGGAAGCTGCAAAGATTTGTGAAGGAGGACAATTTGCCCAAAATTGTCACTGGTTTTCTATGGCCTCCGTCAAACATTGTGACATAATAAAAGTAAAACATTTAATAATAAGATGAAGCATATGGAAAATGGATTCATGCCTTAGCCAATTATATAGGGCGAAATATACACAAAAACTATAGCAGATATTCGAACTCCGCTAGCTGGTTCTCTTTGTCATGCTAGTAAAAGTTACCGCAGCTCGAGTAATGAAGATGCTAAATTTTCTGACTTATACTAAATGACACTGAGATAAATTGTCATTATCATTTCGTTCTTCTCTTAGTTTTTTTTTTCTTATGGGGTTTAATTTAATAATGTTTTCTTTACCCTTTTCTTATCTTTCGTATTATTGTTCTTGTTTGACTTCTAAATTTTTTTTTCATAGCTTATTCTTTTATTTCTTGTCTGGCTCGCTTTGTGAATTCTCTTTACTTTTAATGTTACTACTGTTTTCCTCGTTATTCTAAAATAGAAAAATGAGACTGTCATTTGTCTAACTAACAGCTGTAGATGTAGCAACATTTTACTTATTATAAGTAGTCAAGTTGTTTGCAAGATGTGTTTCAGATCTCTAACTTTCACTAACATAATCGCGAGCCAACAACAAGATTGGTTGTCGGATAAATGATATTATTATTATTAATAATAATAGAACGAAGATAGATTAAACATTATCTTCTTGCCTGCTCTTTCTATTTTCATTAGTCTTTTCTATTTTTATTTGTATGGGAGGTAGGCTCTCCGATTCCTGAATCGGAGAGCCGAGTTCGAATTCCAGTCGAATCTATTACATGACTTACATTCTTTGGAAAGGTTTGAATCCTCTTCTTCATCCCCACCCCCAAGCTATGGCTAAATAGCATTGGATGGTAATTGGTCTACCAATTGGTCTGCAGAAATAAATGGCAACCTACTGCGGGAAAAATCCGCCTCGTCAGTCATGTATCGATAGATGCGTGTATCACGCATGGCACATGACTGACTTTTCTACTCATTCTTCTATGTTATATTCACCTTCGTCTTCTTGTTTATTAACGCTGTTTCTTCCGTGGGAAAAAGAATTAATTCAATAAACAAAATATTAGTAATGATTGAAAAAGAAATACAATTTCCTATGATATTATTAATAAAGTAACCGGTAGTTTTATTACTCCACTTGTCTTCGCCAAATGCCAATTATGTAGCGAAAACCTTTCCTTCCCCTCCTCGCTCTCTTGATATGGCTCTCTCTTTCTTCCTCTTTCTCCAAGATGTAACAGACTTTGTGCAAAGACATTCCCGCTGGGAATATCTCTTTTCCCTGGCTGGCTGACTTCTGAACCTTCTTTTCTTCCTCTTATTTAAAGATGTATCAGGGCAAAGATGAAAACGTCCCTGATGGGGGTACGTCTACTTTCCTAGTCGACTAACATGTGAAGTAAGTACAACCTGTATTCTAGTCGTTTCAAATAGCCATATAAATATAATCACGCTTAACATGACCAAGCCTAACTTAATTCTTGACCAGAAAAAGACGACGAACTTATACAAGAGATATTAAAACCTTTTTTCCCATACAGTTTATATAAAAATTAATAAATGGTCCGTACTAGAAACCCAAGAGGTTTTGCTTGTTTAATTGTTTATAATTGAACATACACACACTGGCAATAATCCAGCACGCAACTTCAAATTCCATACTTCATTCATAGTCATTATATGTTCTTCATCTTTTTATCATAGGAGTTATATCAAATCTTGTATCGTTAGAATTAATGGAAGTTAACATAATATGTATTTGCTGTCATTATAGAATCTTGATCTAACTTATGTAGAAATTTTTACCGATGTCAGGAATCTGGGGTTTTTCTTTTTATCATTCTTTCTTATTTATCGTGTCCCTCGAGAAGGACGGTGTTTATAGATTTTCAAAACTTCCTGGTTTTTGTCTTTTACCATTTGCCATCCATCCCAACAGACTAATCATGTAACTGTTCTATCTTCTCTTGTTTTCAATTATTCCTGGGTGCTGCAGGAATAAACAACGTGATTGTCTCTCTTTGGTTTAGATAGTCATGAGAGTCACGTGCCAGCCAGTGGATTAAATCAGAGCATAGAGTTACGAAGATTAATTGCGACGTAAACCCCAGAGAAGAAGAACATCCCAGGTGCACAGCTTTAGGTCTTACAGGTAAAACCACATTGCCAGATTCATAAGAAAACTGCTTTAATGCCAGTTTTCTTTTAGAAAATTATTGCAAATAACACTTTCTCGTCCCAGTATTCAAACTGCTTGTTGTTGTAGACGCGTGTCATAGTTTCCTTGTGTGCGATACGTATAAATATGTATATATATAATTTTGTGTATGATTTAGTAGTATAAAACTCTCTATCAGAAAAAAAAGTATGTTTGCCTTCTTTTTCTTTCATCTATTCTGTTTATAAAGGTTTAATTATGGAGATAATTATGCCCATCTTTGGTAGGGATTCAAACTGGGAATAAAATTTTATTTCGTAGCTCACCCATTAGTGCTAAATTCTCATTCATTATTCCGAGTCTCATTAGTAAATATAACAGTTTGTTTAATGTCTATTTATCTAGAAACTCCATCGTTCCTTGAATGTTTTGTTTGTGGTATTTTCCATGTTGTTAAGACCATGTTAATTTCGCTTCAAATCTTTTCTTCAACTGTGACAAGATTTTCCATCATTCACTGGATTATAGGGGACTAGATTTTGCGGAACATTTCAACGCACTTTTCATTATTTGTGCACTATCCTCATGAGTATCATTTTCTGATATTCTCCCTAGAACAGAATCTCTACTGAGTGATACGGACATAACTCCGACTATGTATTCTGTTATTGCTACAAGACATGCGGACTGTAAGCATCCTAATTAATTACGCAGGTGAAATGATTCTTGATTTTTTTTTCAAAATCTACAACAAACGACTTGCTGCTTCATACTTTCCATACTGATGGAAATCCTCTACTGTAGTTCTTGTCTTTAAGAACTCGGGGGAATTTCCTCCTATGAGTGTTCTACGTCTTTGTTGACAAAGTATAAAAGACTTTAACCAACTCTGAATTCTTTAAGCATCTCAATTCGCAAAGCCTTCTTTCATATAAAATTATGTATTTCCATTCTCTTGGTCAACGGCCTATTTGTTAATTGTTAATAAAAAATTTGTCCATCAGGATTAAGATACGAATGCCGAGAATAGGAGTGTTGCTTCAGATCTCTCGAAATCATTTAACACATTTTAGCATGCTGACATTCTTCACAAGCTCAAGACTTATGATTCTTCTCAGACGATAATTTTACCAAGTTTGATCGAATATTTCACTTAATCTAATCGTTTAATGAAAGTCGTATTAAATTGCAATGATAGCAGATTGTTTCTCATTAATGAGGGGTTCTGTCACGACTCTATAATTAGACCGACGTTGTTTTATGTTGTTGTTTTTATCTTCATGAACGACCTTCACTGCGTCATCAGTTCTCAACTCAGGATTTATGCTGTTTATTCTAAACTATTATTATCTATTTATTCCTGTTTTAATAGTAAATCCGAAGTAAAACTGGCAGCTGCTCTCCAAAATTAACTCCAATCAGATGATAACTTGGGCAAGAAATGACATTAAATTTTAAGGCCTACAAAACGGAATCGCTATCTTTTAGTCATAAGAGAGAATCATTTTGTCCTTCCATCAGCATGGCTGATGCTAAACTCCAAAAGTGCAAATCATTTATTTTGTCCATTTATAAATCTACTATTTGTCTCTCTAGTAATATTGCTGGCATATCTAGTCTCCCCATTTCTCTTCCTCCCTCTCTTTCTCCTCTCT